AGGCTTATGAGGCATCAGCAAGTACAGCTAACCTCTCCCAAACGGCTTTGACATCTCTCAACTCAAATATGAGTAACGAAATGGTTATGCTGGCAGGTGGAGTGTATTGCCACAAATCAGCTCTCCAGGAATATCCAGTTTTTGATAATGGAAAACAGGCTCTTAATGATGCTTCGCAAAAAGCAACTAAAAACGTCTTCATCCCCCAGGTCTCTTCTGCCACATCTCAAAGCTGTGTATCCCTTGCACCTGCAAGCAAACACTTCCCTTCCCTTATTAAGTGGCCTCTTCTTAGTTCTTCAGAGCGAATCAGACGTCTTAAGGACCTCAGTACAGACGTTTCAGACCAAGAATTTAAAAAGCGCTCTCAAAGAACACTTTCTTTACGCAATATTGGTACTGATATTCCATTTCTCCATTCGTATACATCTCCTGACGATGAGACTGCCCTGCTTCCTAATCCTGATGGGTTAAACTCCCAAGTATCTGGTCAGCGAGTCCCAGAAACAACTCTTGAGTGGGAATCTTCTTCTCATGACGCTCCTGTAAGCCGAGTCCAAAGGGCCCGCAGGAAACCAGCTCGCTATAGGCAGATTTATTATGCTCTAGAGGATCTCGATTGCCTGGACGAGGATGAAAATGAAGATGCGTTTTGTCGAGATGAAGGGGCTAATTCTAAATTTGAGGCAAGGAGAGCGTCAAACCAGGCCTATCATAAAACCTATGCTACTGTTCGGTCTGGTAAAGAGGTTGATGATAGGCTCATTTCGCGAAATCGTCGCAGATTGTCGAGGCGCGTCGAATTGTCCCACAATACTCAAAAGTCACTTATGTCCACTAGAACACATACGGCTGAATCCAAGCGGGCAAATCTTAGTGGCACAATGAAAACTTACAACGACTGGCGAAAAGTCTGGCCTGGTCACAAAATTTCCGGAAATGGCCTTCATCTTTCTCCTTCATCTGCATCCGGCTTTACGGCGCCCTCCATAACGTCGGCTATTTCTATACCATCTCTACCACCATTCCGGCATCAACAAAGATCTACTTCATCGTCTAAAAAATCTACTTATGGAGGCCAGAGTAGGCGTTCGTATCTTAAAGAGCCCGATGCTCTCTGCTACCTTGACTCTGGTGTCATCTATCCTAACCATGCGGCTGAAATTATCAACTCCTCCCGGTCTTCTTCCATCAGCTCTACAGGCTCACAAACACAGGTCTTTAAAATCAAGAACACGAATGGTAAGCATTCGTATAATTATTTGCCGGCAAGTCCAGTAAGGAGGGCGACATGAAAGCAAAAAAAGGCATGCGAATAAGCGTTATGCCAATTACTAGCTTGTGTGCTAACTGTATGGGTCTAGCCAGTTGATTAGGGCGTTTTGCTGGCACGATGAAGCTTCCTGATTCTTCTGTCACTAATATGATCTCTGGCTGAATAAGGATCAGAATTCTGCATTAACAAAAGAGAAAATATCATCTCTTCACCTTGTTCCTTTTTTAATTCGGAAGAGCTTAATTTCAAAGATTATTCTTAGTTTAATTCCACCTTGAACGTCTGACATCTTTTATTGCTTAATTATAATCTCCTCTACCGCTTATGCTCATCTTGAGGAGGCTACATCTTTATCCTGTCGTCAAAGCAGCAGGCGTATTAAGGCGGATTTATACAACTCACTCTATCTGTCCGTAAAGATGGCATAATCTTTCTTCCTTTGGAGGTTTGATATCTCATTTTCCTGTTTAGTAGAAGAGTTATCTTCCTTGTTGTCACACATAATTAGGTTGCAGATCTTCTGAAACCCTCATAAGTGGTCTAGCATAGTCTCTAATATTGACTGAAATCCTAACACCTCAGCAGTTTAAGCATAAAATCACAGCTACAGTCGATAATTTTGGCATATACTCAACACTGATCGGGTGAGTTCACATAGAATGGACACATTCTTATTGCTTAACACAGTACAGATCCGCAGGGTTGCTTATTTCATAGAGTCGTTTTCTCTACTCACACGTCTTATGGAGACTGAAAAAATTACTCTTGACATGGCGCCCAGCATATTTATGGTAGAGCTTGACTTTGCTGGTAACTAAGATATTATCAAATTCAAAGGTTACTTGTCCCTTAAAGAACCTGCTTACTCTGCATTTCGTTACTTCCTCGCCTCACACTATAGATCCATGTGCACATACTTATTTTCCGGCCGAATCACACTCATCATCACCACTACTGTTCGATTTTTTCCAGAGAATTCTGATATCTCTTTTATTACTTTTGGATTTAATGTGCCATTCAGACGAAATTGCTGCAGCGACTTTAATTTCGTATGAAAGTGAATAATGAAGAGATTCGTAGATCGATCTCACCAGAATAAAACTGCAGATTCGCCCTTGTACCGCATCCGTTTGGCTTTAATATCACGTTCAGGTTGACGCAGTCTATGAAACATCCTCCCTCGTCTAAGGTGAAAACTGGCTGAGCTTACGTTCGTAAGAAAGTAGGGTAGCTCATTACAATGAGCTTACGTTCCTCATATCACTAGCATCATCAGAGCTTGGACTCATTCTTGCAAAAGTCTCAAGAAGACACTAAGTCAAAAAGACTGACTTGCTGTCTTGCATGCTATGTATACTCATAAGGAAAAAAATAGGCTATAGATGGATATATAATGGTTTATTTATTTCTCGTATATTCTTGTATGTGTTAGCGTCTGTATACACTGCTGGCTAGAAAAAAGTAACTACAAAGAAACCTAACATTGGATTGATAAGTATAAGCCTGTATGTATGATGGTCAGGTTCTGAAAACACCAGTCATAACTGTTAGTCTGGGGTCATTAAGGCTTAATGACCCAAGGAAAAGCATGACTGGACTTGTAGAGCTTAACATGCCTGTTAAATGAGTGCGAATTTAATCATAACCTTCAATGAGCTGACAAGTTGACTCGTTTTCTTTTGGACGGTGGCTCAGTATGCTCTCTCCTTCAATCCTTCAATTAAGCATAAGTAAATTTATGAAGACCAAGATGGTGTGGCTCCTGGTATGGTCGCAGTCTCCTTTCGATTTATAGAAGTGAGTTGACCTCGGTGTCGCAACTTGATCTTGTTGTCAGGGCGAGTTAGTAGAACGCATCTAGTCCAAAGTCGTCGGCCATAGTATTTGTCATTATTCCCAGCATCAGACAATGGACTTGGTACATTTTCAAACGTTTCGCCGGTATCATCAATGAGTTATGCCATTCTCCGCACCAAGTAACGAACTCGTCAAAGAGACAAGTTAAGTTAATCCCTCAACAAACCTTCTGCCGAAAACGGTTACACTATCACTTCTCTTTCTGTCCTGGCCTATCTGTCTACTCTTTAACCTCCCATCCAACTCCCGCCCTATCACTTTTTCACTTTCCACTCGTCAGAATGTGTGGTAAATATAGTGTAGCCTCATCACACTTGCTATTCAACCTCTCCTTTGATCGGCTGATCCGACTCGGGCATACAATCCGGATCCCCTCATGGTTTCGTAGATCAGTTCTCGATCTTTCTGGTTGACTGATTTCACTCGGTTTCAATCCCAGTAAGCATTTCACTGCAGGCGCTATTTTTCAAGGCCCTATAAGCGCGTACACTGCTGCTTCACCGAGCAGAGCGCCTAGGGTCTGATTCCCTTGCGTGCAGATATCAGGCACTGCCTTCATGGGTCGTCTCCTTGACTAAACCCGTGTAACTTGAGCGAACTGTGGACGCCTCCCTCATATCGCATGCGGCATCTAAAGTGGAATAGAACAAGACCAACAAAAAGGAGACGCCTGGATCAAGGATCTATCGCTAACCGGAGGTAAAGGGGTTGCGATGAGGAAATTGGGGGGCGGGTAGTTTCGGCAATCGAGCGAAGTTGTTGTCAGTGAGTGATGTTCGTTTCAAATAAGCCAGTGAAACTTTGTACGTCTGGCAGTCGGATAAGCAAACCGTCGCGGAAATTCGGCGTTATGGCCAAAATGTAGTAGAAATCCAGTTGAGATGCCGAATGCGACCGAAGATAGACGTCCACAGTATGCTCAGTTTGCGTGGGTTTAATCGAGGAGACGGCCTATGAAGGCAATGCCTGATATCTGCAAGCATGTGATTCACATTCAAGGCGCTTTACTCGGTGAGGCGGCAGTGTACTTGCTTCTAGGGCCTTGAGAAATAGCGCCTGCAGTGAAATGCACAGTGGGATTGGATCCGAGTGAAATCGGTCAACCAGAAAGATAAGGAACTGATCTACGAGACCATGAGGAGATCCAGATTGTAGGCCCTAGTCGGATTAGCCGATCGAAAAAGAGGGAATCGGGGTGAATAGCAGGTGTGATGAGGCTACACTAGATTTTCCATAAAAGGGCACACCTCTTGACGAGTGGAATGTAAACGAAGGAGAAGTTGTGATAGGGCGGCAGTGGGATAAGAGGGTAAAGAGTAGATAGATAGGCCAGGACAGAAAGAGGAGTGATAGTGTAACCGTTTTCGCAGAAACTTTGTGGAGGGATTGATTTTACTTGTATCTTTAACGAGAATGGTGGCACTCCCTGATGATGCCGACTACGATATCGGCGAAACTTTGAGAATGTACCAAGTCTACTATCGGATGCTGGGAATCATGACAACTACTATGGCAGACGACTTCGGACTAGGTGCGTTCTACTAAGTCCCCCTGACAACAAGACCAAGCTGCGACAAGGAGGTCAACCCACTTCTAAGCATAAGTAATTCTTACTCAACGTTCTGCGATCACTACTCACATCCACTGTATTCTATAATTTATTAATTTAAATAGTCTCTCTTATCTTGTGTTTCGTAGCAGACATACCATAATCAGCAAATCTCTGCGTCTGAAACCATTCTATCTCATGCCCAGCCTCTGCCCTGTGTTCGACTTCTCCTACCCATTCTACACAGCATTCTTGAGCTTCGTTAATCTTTGGCGAATATGCCAATATGTCTTACCAACACAAGTGCGACCACAGGAGCACACAAGCTTGTAGCAGCCGTATCTCGATAATGGGTCATATTTTTCTCTAAAAGAAGGCATAGCTTAAGGAGATGTCAAAGTTCCCATTTTCTTAACTAGCTCGCCTATCATTTTAGAAAGAGAGCTTAGCAACAGTTTTATGACTCCGGATAGATTCTCAGCTTGTCTATATCTGACCAACTAGTCGCCGTCTGAAAATGTATTCTTTACTAAGGAGATATTTTTATACTTTAAACATAAAGGATAATTATTTTCCAGGAATAAACATTTCTGTCTCCTCAACTCTTCATTCAGGTGATTTCCATTCACAGACCTCATACTACACATAATTATAAATATTCGTCATATGGCTAACGAGACTCAGCCCGTTTTCACCCTAAACTAGCAAAGATGTCCAATGGAATGCGTCAATCCGTGCGTATTTGTAAAGCCAAACGACTGTAGTACAATAGAAATCCGCCGTCGCCTTCTGGTGAGATCAACCCACACATCTCATTGTCATGTACTTTTATACGAAATTGAAGTCTCCACAGCAATGTTATCTCAGAAGAGTTATCTAAACCCGCTCTTTCTTTGTATTCTCCGACTAAAGCCTAGTTGGGGCTAGTTTTCTAGTTATGTCTTATGCTATTTTCAGCCCACATTTTGCTCTTTAATGACTCAGCGATATCCCTTGCTCTATTTTGATCCTTTGTCGAACTGCTTTTCTGTTTGTATAAGTCCATGTCTGTAAACATATTAAGTCATGCTAGTCAGTAAGTCATTCACTTTGTCTATCTTTGAATGCGTATTTTTATCTATACTTCTGCCTGCATATACTGCATTTTACCTTATCGGTTTGCCTGCCTTTGTGCAGGTCTGTCTATGCTTGTGTTCCCTCTTGTCTTATCATTCGCGAATACTGTTCATTTATGAGAGGAGCTATTTGGTTAGGCAAAGTCTAGTCATCATCATGCAAGAATGCTTGTATTTTGTACATGTACCTGTCTGCCCACGCTTTATTTGCATTGAATATGTTTAAACCAGATCTTGGCCATTCTGAAACAGATGACAAATCCGTAAATTATATAGCTCTCTGCCTCGTCTTCGTAAAGTTTGGCCTGTTTAAGCTTATCTGTTTGCCTATCAATGGCCTCCACCTAAGCAATAGACTAACTGATTTGATGTGATTACGATTGTATGGATTTTGTGTAAGAGTCATATACACTATTTGGTTTAAGATGATGTATGTCTGGTAGTCGAATTTCATCACAATTATATCATTGGGCCCCATTTTTTCATTGAATTTCGCAT